TTACAACCTCTCCCTCTCCCTTAGAATTAAAGAAACTGTTTTTCTTATTGCTGATATTATTATTTTGATATCGCTACTGTCGGACCAAAACCTTGTCTCTTTATTTTGGGCATTTTTTCAGGTTTTGATATAATTTGAAAATACTTACTGTCTTTTACATTGTGTGTATATTTCTAGATGAATGGACCAAAAGAAAAGACCCAGAATTACTTGAAAAAATGTTTGGTTCCTTTGACTTACATTAAAAGTAAAGTATATCGGTTACCATGTCACAACACAAGCGTACTACTACAGCTAGTTAAGTGTTCAGTCTGAATTAGTTTAAACCCACACACTCATTTTAAAGTCCATTCATTTGAAGCACAATGCCACTGCCAATCAGAACGAAGCTCATTTATGCTTCTTCAGAGATTTCTTTAGTAAAGGCAATGGTTCTATTATACTAACTATACCATTAACAAATCACAAAGCTAAAGTCAGCTTCTTGTTTGAATTTTCCTGTTCCACCTTAAGTGGTGCCTGCTTTCTATTTAAGGTGGAACAGGAAAATTCAAAGAAGAAGCTGGCGAATAACAAGCTGACTTCAGCCTCATAAAAAATTGTACATGGAGATACATTTTACAAAAAGTATTCTAGTTTTGAGGAAAGGTTTCCTGCCAGAGATGCGAGAAAAGTGACTAAAGCTGAGCTTAAGCTTATAACAGAGCCAAGTCTCCATTTTCATTCGTATTGTATTTTTAGCCTACATAGGTACATTAACACATACTGAGACATATGTACAGCCAAGATGGTAAAATATTACTGCAATAATGGATACAAAATGGTGTGGTTCTCAAGGTGGTTTGATTTTTGTGGAAAGGGACAGAATGGCTCTTCCTAACATTTGGGTTGCCGACCCCTGGTCTATTTGACCCCTGGTAGATTTGCACTGCCATGTGCTTGAGTTCATACACCTGTTAGCAGTAGGTCTGGCCAAACCAATTGTAATTAGGAGGGATGGTCATTCTTTGAGCCTTTATTTACATAAGCTGTACTGCTCTAACCCATCTGTAACAGTGAATACTTCACCTAGAGTTACAAGTTGTTGTTAATATGTTGTTAATAAGTAATTACATAGTTATTAGAGACAATTTAACATTGGCCTGAATAGTTTAGTAGAAATGAGTATGACACGCACAGAACAAGACCATGTCTTGATTTGCAGTCGACATACATGAAGAGAGGGTGTTTTTCTTTTACTCTCTGTGAGTTTTTGATCATTCCTTGCTTTGTGGATCCAAGCAGAGGGCTAAAATTGACTGTTGCGATTAACTGCGAGAAGCCTCTCTTCTCCGACAGAAGGCATCGCAGCCTGTGAATAATTCATGGCCACTTTATTGCAGATTGGCTGAAAGACGTTAACATGCAAGCTTTATGCAGCGATGCTCCAAAAGGAAGGTGACTTGTGTAAAATGACAACAGACTCAACTGATTAATTAAATTTAGAGCTCCTCTCTTTTTTAAGAGTGTACTCCTCCATCATTGTGCCACATATAAATAGCCTATAAGCTTCTGGGGAAAGAAAAAAAAACTGCCTTTTGCATTTAAGAAGAGATCAGCAGAAGTTTAACACAGAGGGAAAGAAGAATAAAAAGCCTGCTTACGTCGACCTCTTTTCTTTCACTTTGTGCAGCTCCAGCCTATGTGGCTCATGGCTGCCAAGAGAGACCACAGGAGCTGATTTGTCTTCATCATCGCCGCAGTATTGAATGCACCAATGCAGGTCGGCTCTTTGATTCAAAATAAATCAATGCAGACGACTTCAAACATCGCCGTGGTCAATTAGTGGACAGGAGGTGGGGGGATGGCCACTGTGTATAATGCTGATTGCATTACAGTAACTGCACCCCCCCGTCCACAGAATATCTTAAATTTGCCTCATCTTACATTTTCTTTAAAAGATTAGCTTAGTCGGAAATGCTAATCTTGTTCATAGTTCAAGTACTTATTAGCATCATTGTAACCTAATGATAATTCGAGGTTATTCATATATATATATATATATTTGGAATTAAAACAAGCTGTATTCATTACTGTGTCTGACACAGTTGTATACCAAAGTTTAAACACCCCCAGTCAAATTACACATTTTGTTAATTTTCTAAGTGAAAATTCAGCCTAAATCAACCAATTTTGGCCAATCAGAACAGAGCTCATTTACATACATACTTTAAAAAATGTTTCTTCAGAGGTTCCTTAGTAAAGACAATGGTACTATTTAGAGCCATGAATTCTATACAGTACCATTTCATGCTTACATGGTTCTTTGAATGGTGAAATGGTTGATGTAACATGTGCTTTAGATGGTCCTTTTTGAAAATGGTTCTACCTAGCTTCTTCTATAATTACAATATAGTAATTAATGATGTACTATACTATATATATATATATATATATATATATATATATATATATATATATATATATATATATATATATAGTATAGTACAGCCATGATCAGGGGTGTAACTGCAAAACTAGATTGACCCTGTTTATTCATATAGCTCTTCTGGCCTCTGTGCAATTTTATGAAGTTTTTGCAGAAGAATACCTGTTTTTCTCTTGCAAAAATGAAGGATAAAAGAAAATGATGATTCCAGAAAATAATGATCTGCTGCTGAGAACACCTGAAAGTGTCACCAATTTAGCACTTGTGCGAACCCCATGGGATGCCATAAACAACGTCTTTCTCTTTTTTTCAAGAGAAAGCCATTATATTTAGACTGTGCAGCAAAATATGTTTTATTGAGGGGTGCTGAAAATATCAGCAGGAAGTCCACTTACGCCATGTGCTAAGTAGACATATAAACTACCGGGCTGAAGATTATTTAAGATGGGGACATTTGGCCGATACACCAAAAAATGGACTGTAATTACATCCTAGCCCGTGTGCAATTTTAACTCAGTCTACCACATTAGCTCCACATCGATTCCACTGATTACTGAGGCATGGTGATTCATGCCAAATCAACATAGTTCACAATCATTCTTGCCCAGAAAGGGAGCGCAATGCTGACCAGCCACATTATTGGAAACTTCAGCCTTGGAGATCCACTTTGCTGGTCTACAATTAGAGCAGTGGACACTAAACCTGGTCCTGGACTGTAGCTTGAATCACAATCTGCCACACCTGCTGCAGCTAATTAACTTCTGTAGAAGAGCTTGATTGGCTGGATCAGATGCACTATTGTTAGGTAAGAGCTTGTTAGAAACAGGTGGGAGTGAAAACGCTGGAAAGTAGTAGGAGGAGGATTAGTGACCCCTGAGTTAGAGACTTTAACTCTTCATCAGTGGTCAGGGTCTGATCACAGAGCTGCTCTTGACTGGATATTCTTGGCTGGAATATTCTAATTTTACATCTATAAAGTAGACCTATAGGCCAAAGCTGAAAAAATGAGGGGAGAAAAATGACAAGTGTAGATGCTTCCAGCAGGTGATACATCTGAGCGATTAACACCCTACCATGCTATATACATGATATGGACAAAGGTATTGGGACAACTACACATTACACCCACAGAAGGTGGTTTATGACATCCCATCCTAAATCCATAGGCATTAATATGGACTTGGTCCACCTTTGCAGCTATAACAGCTTCCACTCTTCAGGGAAGCTTTCTACAAGATTTTGGAGTGTGGTTGTCGGAATTTTTGCCCACTCATCCAAAAGAGCATTTGTGAGGTCAGACACTGATGTTGGATGAGAGGGCCTGGCTCACAATCTCCATAGTTCATCCCAAAGGTGTTTGGTAGGGTTAAGGTCAGGGCTCTGTGCAGGTCAGTCAAGTTCTTTCTATTCTGGAATAGAAAAGGTTCTTCCCCAAACTGTTCCCACAAAGTTGGAAGCATACAATTGTCCACAATGTCTTGGTTTGCTGAAGCATTAACATTTCTCTTTACTAGAACTAAGGGTTCTAGGCCAACCCCTGAAAAGCAACCCCATAGCATTATCAGGCTGGTAATGTTCTCCTGACATTCACCAAACCCAGACTCATCCATCAGACTGCCAGAGAATATGTTTCCACTGTTCCTGAGTCCAGTGGTGGTGTGCTGTACACCACTCACTCATTGACCTTCAAAAGAGGTTTCTTATTGGGCCACAAATGGCAGGAGCTTTACATTTGAGAGTTCAGTGGTCCTAAACTATCAGCACTGAAAGTACTGAAATAGTCAGATGTGTAACCTTTCACCATGTTCTCTACAGTGGGAAAGTTCATCTGCAGTGCACACCAAGAGAACGGTACAAGCCTGAACGCTTGACCCCTTCAGGGTAAAGGTCCAGTGGCCCTGTAATGCTCTTGCATTCTACTGGCTTGGTCTGGGTCCACTTATCCTCTCAGAGGAAAGAGTCACTGCAAATCAATACAAAGTCATTCTGACCAATCACTTTTGTCTTACAATGAAACATTTCTCTCTTAGGTCTCTTCCAGGATGACACTACCCTCATCTGCAGGGCAAGAGTGGTCACTGAATTAGTATGAAAAGGATGTAAATCATATGCTATGGCCTTGCAGTCACTAGGTCTCAACTCAACTGAACACCTATGGGAGATTTTTGGATTGACGGCAGTCCTCACTACCATGATCAAAATACCTATCGAGGGAATATCTTTTAGATAAATGGTCTTCCATCCCTGCAGTACAGTTCCAGAGACTCCAAGGCATATTTACTCTGGTGGCTTGTCTTTGCCCAACAGCATCTTACTAAAACTTTTTTTCTTTAATTTTCGCCAACCTGTTGTTGTTTCTACCTGTCCAGGGTGTATCCTGCCTTCCACCCAATGACAGCTGGGATAGGCTCCAGCACCCCACCGTGACCCAGAAGGATAAGTGGTTTAGATGGATGGATGGATGGATGGATGTTGTTTTTCTATTAAAGTGGCCAGAGAGTGGGCATAGAAGACAGGTGTTTATAATAAAGTGACCAATGTCTTTAAGTTAAATACCAAAGTTTCAGCTTACCTGAGTTCTCAAAGTCCTTGTATGAAGCTGCCCAGGACTCAGCCATGCCTCGGAGCGTGTTCTCCATGATCTGTAGGTCAGTGGTGGGACAGTTGCATTGTGGAAACTCTTCAGAGCAGCGGCAAATGCACTGGTTGTTGCGGCAGACATATTCACCCTCGCCATTACACATGATGTAGCTCAGAGCGGACTGCACAAACTTCTCCTGCAGGTATTCAGGGAAAATCACCTGGAGACCTGCCGAAAATACACACACACACAATCTACTGAAGCCATTGAAGACACCAGAGGAGATCATTGACTTACTATCAGGTAGTGCCCTGTGGAAAGTTTTGGAGAGAATAGACAATGGCAATTTAACTGCACTCAGCATGTGGAGAAAAGCTGTAGTTATGTAATAGAATACATAATGTTACTTATGATATGTACTGTATGGCCAAATGTATGTGGACACCTAATTATCACATCTATTTGAACTTATCCCATTCCAAAATCATGAGCATGAATATGCAGTTGCCCCTCCATTTGCAGGTATAACAGCCTCCACTCTTCTGGGAAACTTTCCACAAGGTCAGGCAATAGTGTTGAATGAGAAAGCTCGGCTCTCAATTAACATTCTAACGGATCCCAAAGGTGTTTAGTGGGGTTGAGGTCAGGGCTCTGTGCAGGCCATGGGAGTTCCTTCACACCAAACTGGTCAAACCTTTATGGAGATCACTTTCCCTGAAACAGGAAAGGGTCTTCCACAAACTGCTGCCACAAAGTTGGAACAATAAAATTGTCTAGAATGTCTTTGCATGTTGAAGCATTAATTTTGCTCTTCACTGAAACTAAGAGGCCCAAACCTGGAAAAACAGCCCCAGCCCATTATCCCTCCTCCACCAAACTTCACTGCTGGCACTGTGCATTCCAGGAGGTAGTGTTCTCCTGGCATTCACAAAAACCCAGATTTGTCTAACTGACTGAAGTGTGATTCTTAATTCAAGTGAACATGTTTCAACTGCTACAGTGTCCAGTGGTGCTTGGCATTGTACATACTGATTTCATGAAGCCTCTGACACACAGTTCTTGTGCAGATGTTACTTCCAGAGGCAGTTTGAAGCTCTGTAGTGAGTGATGCAACAAAGGATAGGCAACTGTTATGTGCTACTTGTTTCAGCACTTGGCAGCCGCACTCCGTGGATTTGCATGGTCTACTGCTTTCGTGGGGGCAGTCATGGGCTGGTGGTTAGGGAATCGGCCTTGTGACTGGAAGGTTGCTGGCTTGATCCCCTGAGCCAACAGTATGTGACTGAAGTGCCCTTGAGCAAGGCACCTAACCTCCAACTGCTCCCCGGGCGCCGTGGATAGGGCTGCCCACCGCTTCGGGCAAGTGTGCTCACTGCCCCCTAGTGAAATTTCCCCATTGTGGGACTAATAAGGCTCTCTTAATCTTTGTGGCTGAGCTGTTGCTCCCAGACACTTCCTTTTCATAATAATAGAGTTGACCATGGCAGATCAAGCAGGGCAGAAATCTCATAAATGGACTTGAAGTCACTGAGCTCTTCAGTCCAACCTATTCTACTGCCAGTGTTTGTCTTTGGAGACTGAATGGCTGTGTGCTTGATTTTATATACCTGATAACAATGAGTGTGGCTGAAACACCTCAAGGGTCTCCACATATTTTTGACCATATAAGGCCTAAAGAAGTGGAAATATAAAAAAAATAAAAATCACACTTATGTGGCTCAGATTCACTTTTAGCTTTTTCCCCTCCATTTTATGGGCTGCTATATCAAATATAGTGCTTGTTTTCTCTTACAATATATTGCACTATATCTCGGTGTCCATTACTGTACACTATACATTATATTTTCTGTTTGAAGGCTTGTGCCTGTGAAACTGCTCCAGTTTATTACTGTACTCTGCTGCTGTATCTAAAATGCTTCTTGCACACAATCTATACTGAATACTGAAGTGTTTACTGTACCAATCCATCTTCTTCTTTGTACATATCCATATAGCCCAGTGGACCGTGCAAATAAGAACTCCAGATCATTTATTACAGATGGCTGAGAAAGCTGAATATTGGATCTTCTTATTTTCACAGTGTCCAATGTAAACACAAAGTAACTCAAATTAGATAATGAGCAAAGCTGTTAGATATGGCTAAAAAAAATGACAGTCATGGTTATGATGTACTGTACACAGTATATACCTTTTACATACTGTCCATAGTATAACCCTTCACAGTAAGGGTATTTTTGACCTGGTCTTCATTCTGTCTCTTAGTCTCTAGGTCAAAGTTTATGTTGTGCATTTTTTTCCCTCTTTTTAGTGGATACTCTCTCAAATTTCAGGCTTGAAATGTATATAAAGGGTCACTTTACTGGCTTCAGATGTTGCAATTTGTATGAATGGGATGCAGAATAGCTGAAGTATATTAGCTAAATAGAAAATGGCTGAAAATTTGGTTTTTACATTCACTTACAGCACATGGAGAAATAACTAAAATACATTAGTGACTTAGCAAAGCTGTCGCACATGGCTAAAAATATGGTTGAAAAATGTTGATTTTATTATATCCACAATGTTGAGTCTATACAAATTAGCCAATGTACATTAGCCAATTAGCAAAATTGGTATACATAGCCAAACAATATGAATATTGAAAAAAAAATGGTTAAAAATATACCGTATACGTATAAAAAAATACAGAAATACATTTGCTAATTAGCAAACAGCTGAAAACAAACATGGATTTTTATATATTTACAATGTACAATATACACAAAATGGCTGAAATGCAGTGGCTAATTAGCAAAGCTATTGCATATGGTTGAAAATCTGAATGCTAAATATTCACTTTATAGTATAATAGACACACAAACTAACTGAAATGCATCAGCTAGCAAAAAAATCTAAATTTTAAATCTTTTTACGTTCAGTTTATAAAGTAAATACACTAAATAGCTCAAATACCTTAGCTAATTAGCAAATCTGTTGCATAAGTCTAAAATATCTGAATATTGAATGTTTCTATGTTCAAAATGCCAAATTTGCTAATTTAAAAAGCTGTTGGCTATGACTAAATAATCTGAATGTCAGATCTTTTTTAAATGCACTTTGCAGTCCAAAATACGTAAAATAAATGAAATAAAATACATTAGCTAATCGGCCAATGGTTAATAATCAATATGTTGACATTCTATATGAATGGCGTATACATAAAAGCTGAAACATAGTAGCTATTTAGCAAAGCTGTTATATATAAGGCTCACAGGTCACATGCTTGGCTAAAAACACAGCTGGGAAATGAAAGGAATGAAGCAGCACTGAGCTGCCATAAATTAGGTCAAAATGCCGTATGATATTCGCTGTGTGTAGCTGTCCAGCCGTCAGGCTGTTGGAGAGCACAAAGCTCATATTAGAAGTTTTGCCCCAGGTCCATTTGACTTTGAACCGTCCCCCACGAGTGGGAGGGCTTTACATAATGGGATAAAACGGAGCCATGATTGATGTATTCTGTCCTGATCTGTTTCGGCTTATTTACCAGGGCAGACATAATATCCCTGCCTGTGTGCGTGAGTGCGTGAGTGTGTGAGTCGGGGATGGAGAGAGTGAACAAAAGAGACCAAGAGGAGTAAATATTTGTTTCAGTGAAAGAGAGAAAGAGAGGGAGAGGAATGCTTATGATCTATAAAAGTGTACACACAGCTAGGACAGTAAAGAATCGCCCATAATGACGCACACTTATCATCATTTATCATCTCTACACTGTTGGCAATGGACTGTAGACATATTTAGAGAGTACTTTTAGACAGTAAGATCACGTGTATTTTTAAAGAACCCCTATAGAAAGTATGTGTGTGTGTATATATATATATATATATATATATATATATATATATATATATATATATATATATATATATATATTTATAACCCGCTCTATCGTAAATTGTATGCATAAAATTGGGTATTTCAACTTGTGTGATAGTTTATCATTACTTTGGATGAGATTTATGTAAAGCTTGTCCAACTTAGCAACAGTTGCCATGATATAATTAGATGAGGAGGTAGTCATGGGTGGATTGTCTGTCTCAGAACAAGCTAAATGTGACATTTCATCCATTTCATCTCTGAGCATAATTTATTAATAAACCGACAATCTATAAAATAAATAAATGAATGAGGTTGGCGTTTGATGATGAACACCTAAACTGTAAATGCTCTAAATAGGCCAATATTGCTGTTAAGAACAATGGTCATCAGCATGACTGGGCAGTAATTGCATCCAATTAAAACCAACAGGAGGTCTGAGTGAGAAAAATAAATAAATAAATAAATAAATGAAAATAAAAAAAAGCTTTTACAACCCCACTGCTGACCTCCTCTGTTTATTCGGTGTCTCTCGAGGTGAATGAAAATGCCAATTCCTCCATAACGGACCCCTGTAATTTGTGGATTTGTTGATTCCACGAGCCGGCATAGCGGGTGGCTAACATTAAGCCTGATGATATGCTTATTTGTGTTTGTTTATTTATTTCTTTGCCAGAAGCAGAGAGGTGTGCATGTGTGTGTGTGTGTGTGTGTGTGTGTGTGTGTGTGTGTGTGTGTTTGAAGTGGGTCTTACTGCGCACACACACACACACGCGCACACACATACACACACACACACACCCACACAGACACGCACACATACACTTCTGAGTTCTCTGTAAGTCAGTAAATGTAACAGAGTTATTGTTTTAGAAGACTCTTACACCACAGTATGTCTACAGAACTAGCTCTATATAAAAAGCCAGAGACCATGCTTTGCACTCAAAATGGCCACTTTTCAAGAGATATTTTTAAAGAGATTTGATAAAATATAATCTTCTCATATCTCTTAACAACCACCTGGAAGACCTGGTAGACACCAAAACTGACCCCCATCAGATAAACAGCACTTAAAGCTTTCATCTGTGAGAGAGAGGAGAAAATCAAGCTGCTTCAGATCTGAAAACATCCACAGGTGTTTCTGTCCATCCTTCCACTGTGAGAAGACGACTCAGCGCTGTGGGTCTGAAAGGATGTGTAGCTGTCAAGAAGAACCTCACTGAGAAAAGGAGATGGACACATCAAACAAAGAAGCTGAACAATGGACTGACCACCCCAGAGTCCAGACACCACTGAATGTGTTTGATTACTTCAGAAAATGATCAACCAGCTTCTGCGACTGAACTTTGGAGGTGTGTCTGCAGATTCTTAGAGAA